ATCGAATGCAGAAAAAAAGGAAAAAACCCTAGATAGGGTGTGCAAAGAATAGAAACCTAGGCAAGCAGAAATCTAGGCAGATTCAAGTTGCTCTGATACCATGTTATGATTTGGTTCTGCTTTAGAGTTCTGTCTGTCTGAGATCAGTTATGTAGAAAGAGAAAGGTGGAAGAAAGAGAGAAAGAGAGAAGGGAGAAATTCTGGTTCGAATTGGAAGACTCAACATGACATCTCCTAGTCGGCCAGGTAGTATTTATATTATTAAAATTAACTGAAAAGACATGTGCCCTTATTTAAGTTAGGAGCACTGGTTCTAACACAACATTACAGATCAACAACATTAATCTAGGTATAAAGACAAAAATACCTCTACGCTAACAAGTCCTATTAGGATTATTGAGTCTAACAGATCGACTCCGAAGACTATTATGAGTCTAACAGTTATGCTCCTAGGATGACAGGAGTTCTACATTAGGTAGTGGCATATTGTTTGCTGACCATGGACATTTGAAGTTAGAGGCTTACACAAATGCTGATTGGGCAAGGTGTCTATGTCCTATGATGACAGGAGATCTACATTAGGGGTTTGCACTCTTGTTGGAGGTAATCTAGTTTTATGGGAGAGTAAGAAACAATTAGTTGTAGCAAGGTCAAGTGCAGAAGCTGAATACAGAGCCATGGTACATTGTGTTTCAAATCCCCTTTGAGTCTGATTCGTGTTAGGGGAGATTGGAGTTAAGGCCGAAGAACCTATGATGCTATATTGTGACAATCAAGCAACAATTAACATTGCCAACAACCCAATTCAGCATGATAGGACGGAGCATATAGAAGTGGATAGACACTTTATAAGGGAAAGGGTGACATCCGGAGAAGTGTGCTTACCATATGTTGCATCTGACTTGCAACTTGCTGATGTTCTTACAAAAGTTGTTGCAAGAAACAAACTGGAGCATGATCTTCACTAGTTGGGAATGTGTGACATTTATTCCCAACTTGAGGGGGAGTGTTGGTTTTGGGATGATGACATTTGTTTTTATTTACAAAACATAGTTAAAGAGTTATTGGGCCCAAGGTCCATTAGTTTATGTTTAAATTAAGAGTGTTTACTTACTTTTACATGAAACTGACTTACTAAGGGCATACTTGTCTTTGTACTCAGTTTTACTTATGAGTATATGAGCTAATGAAAGGGGCGGCCAGACCTAATTTTGGCTTCTCCCCATTCTCTTCAACTTCTCTCTTTTTTTCTCTGCACAAACCTTTTATTTTCTTTCTTTCTTTCTCTCTTTCATAGATTTTATATCAAAACAGAATGTGTACTTTTCTTTAGCAAGAAGGATTAAGCTAGTTATGGGGTGCATTATCTTGGAGTGCCTAGGGGCTTTTGTGGGAGGAAGGTTGATGGTGGATGGGGGTCTTAGTAGCAAATGAATTAATTGACTGAAGGCTGAGAAGTGGAAGGGGTGGGCTGCTTTGCAAAGTAGATTTGTAGAAGGCATATTGATCATGTGAATTGGAGTTTCCTGGACTACAGGCTTAGAAGGATGAATTTTGGATCTAAATGTTTGAAATTGGATGAAGGTATGTGTTAGTACCCCGTCGTTTTCGGTTCTGGTAAATGGAAGAGCTAATGGATACTTTAAAAGTTTGAAGGGGATTAGACAAGGGGACCCATTATTCCTTTCTTGTTTATTTGTGTGATGGAAGCTCTCAACAGATTGGTGAAAAGGGTTGGCTTGGGGGAATTTTTAGAAGGTTTAACAGTAGGTAATGAGAGGGTGGAGGTTAATTTACTGCAATATGCTGATGACACTTATCTTCTATGATGCATCACAAGAGCAGTTATATTTTGTAATGTCTGTGCTGAAATGGTTTGAAGTAATTTCGGGGCTGAAAATCAACATAAGCAAAAGTGAGTTAGTGGCTGCAGGAGCTGGCTCGTTTGGCAGAAATGTGAGAATGCTCCTGGGTGCAAAATGTATCCAAAACAATTTGGGAGCCAATTGTAGAAAGACTTAGAAAGAAATAGGCCTTCTGGAAAGCCAAATATCTTTCTTATGGAGGCAAAGTTACCCCGGTGAAAAGTGTGTTATCCTCCCTCACCATGTATCTTTTATCTTTGTACTCAATCTTGGTAGGAATGACAGCCATCATTGAAAAGAAGATGAGAGATTTCCTTTGGAGAGCCTGGAAAGAGAAGTACCACTTGGTTAATTGTAACAAGGTTTGTCAGTCCATATCTAAAGGGGGGTTGGGGGTTAGAAGGGTGAAAAACATCAGTATTTCCTTGCTAGGGATTAGGGAAGTGGTTTCAGACATTTGGGGAGTGCCAAAGAGGGCTTTGGAAAAGGGTTGTGCAGGCCAAATATGGAGATAGAAATTTTGGATGGGATCTAGGAGCTTCAAATCAGTCCTACGGGTGTTCGGTTTGAAAAGGAATTGAAAAGGCCTACAACTTGTTTGCAAAAGGTGTGAAGTTCAAAATAGGAAATGGGGAGGGTGAAATTTTGGAAGGATGTTTGGTATGGGGAGAGGCCCTTGTATGAGAGATTCCCTCCTTTGTTTGAAGTGGCAGTAGACAAAGAAGTCAAGGTTGCTGAAAGCTTGCAAATTCAAGATGGTAGCTTGGTCTGAACCCCACAGTTCAGGAGGAACCAAAAAATTGGGAAGTGGATGAATGGATGGAACTTTGCAGCTCCTATATAGTACACAGGTGGAGTTTGCCAGGTCTGACAGTAGTATCTGGAAGTGGGAGAAGACTGGAAGATTCATAATTAAATCTTTTTACAAGGCCTTGTACAATGCATTAGGACATTCAGTCCCTACTCACATCATCTCTTGTAAAAATGTACCTTAAAAAATATCTTTTTTTTTTTTTGTCTGGACAGCCTATCTCAACAGAACACTTACAAGGGACAACCTTACTTGGAAAGGTGCTGTACTGGATTCAGCTAGCTGTGTTCTTTGCGAAGGACAACTGGAAACAGTGGATCACCTTTTACTGCACTGCAGTTACTCTGAGATCTAGCAGAATTTCACACTTGTTTGAAGTACAAAGCTGCTGCTCAGGATGTAGATGACTTTCTAAAGGGTTGGAGGGTGGAAGGACTGAGTAAAAACGGAAAATTAATCTGAAATATAACCCCAACGGTGGTATTCTGGTGCCTTTGGCAAGAAAGAAATACACGAGTCTTCAAGAGCAAGATAAGTTCTGCTGATTCCATTTTTCAGAAAATCGTAGGGAAGATATTCTCATGGTTGTCTGTCATAGGTTGTTTAAGGGTGTAGGTTTTGAATCCTTTTTTTTTTTTGTATAGGATACTCTTTTTGTAAAGCAGGGTGGGGATCAAGGTTAGAGGGAACAGTTTTTTCTTGTTTCCTTAGTACATCTTCTTGCTGTACATTTTTTGTTCATACTAATACAATGATACCATACCTTCTCTCAAAAAAAAAAAACATAAACATAATATGCAAAACGTATTCAAATAAACATTTAAAAATAAAATCAAACATATAAAACATTTTCAAGCATGTAAAACCCACAATCTCTTTTTTTCCTCAATTACATTACTTCAAATAGCTAATGTGATGTAAAACTTCTTCCATCCCTGATTCTATGAGTTGCATTTGTAGTTTGTACCAAGCCCCTCGAGGCAAGCCCAAACAAGTCCATGTTAGGGTCTTAAATTGTTGATCCTTGCACACAGAAAAAGATTTTATAATTTTAATTGCCTTTTAAGAAGATATTTTATTAGCATGAATGAATGAACAACATTAGCAAATAAGGGGTTCTCATCCACCCTGGTGCCGGGTGTTTGAGGCGCACGCCTGGGCTAAAGCGCAAGGCGTACTAAGTGCAGCAGTCACACACATTTTGAAAATGCTGCATCTTGGGCCTAGGAGAGGTGCAAAGGCACATGCCTTAATGCGCCTCATCTAGGCACCTAGGTGCGCCTTTGAACTCACTGGATGGTCTATTGGAGAAATGTTCATCGGTGGTTTTACAATAACTTTATTTATTGATTCTACATCTCCTTGATTGCAGTGGAGAAACGGGAGACATTTCCAATTACAATGGCACTATTTATAAACTTGGCATAAGGACTCAGATTTCCCTTTTACAAACTCCAATTTAAATTCAAGAGCTGGCCAGATGCAACTCCTAATTTCTTTAGGACTAGGATGAAACTATGGGTATAACCTTTAGAGAAAAAGGACATTATCAAATGTTGGTCCCAGCTATTTGGGGTCTTGGAAGGGGTTGACTGGATATAGACCAACTTTTGACATTTCTTTTGTGCAAAGTGGCTACTCAAGACTTGAACACACATTCCCATGCTTATCAGCCCTAGGTTTTACCGTTACACCAAGACACTCAAATAAGGATCCTTGAAAAATAATCTGAAGGAAAAATGACATTATTGCGATTTCAAGTTTCCCACATTCTAAAACTTCTCTAATATTACACTTTAAGACAATTAACCCTGTTTTAAAGAAAATGGGCCATTGCTTGGTGTAATGGTAAAATGACTAAAATCTCAGGCTGATAAATGTGAAATGTGGGTTTGTGTCTGTGAGTGATCACTTTGTGCCAAAAAATGCCAAAGGTTAGGTTTGTATTCAGTTGACCCCTCCCAAGACCCCAAATAGCTGGGACCAACATTGGGTGATGGCCTTTTTAATGCTATTTCTAAAGAAACTGGAAATTAAAAATTCAAAAATATCAAATTTGTAATCACCAAAAATATGAAATTATCACTCTATAAGGAATTGGGATAAACTGATTTCTTTCTCCATGGTTTTTTTCCACTTTCCATTTCTGCATCATTATGCAACATCTAAAAATATGTTACTTACAGCTTTGTAGGGTTATCCTTATTGCTATTAATGTTATTGCTGTTGTTATTATTTGTTATTGTAATTCTTGGACATGTTCATTCTCACTGTATACTTTTGAAACATGGATTAGTTCCTCATGCTTGGGTTAATTATCCCAGGATAGAGCATTGAGATTAAAGAAAGATGCCACACAGAACACGTCCTATGGCATCACTCTTGGTGTTTATGGGGGTCAATGTGATCTTGGTGTCAACCATTACTCCAGTGTATGATTTCGTCTGCTTCCATCCATATTGGGAAAGGAGGGTATTCTTTTAGTCTTTATTTACTTTTAGTACCATCATAATTATGATAGTTATTCATGCTTGTGTTTAAGTTTGTTAACCATTACTCCCAAGTATATGATTTCATCTGCTTCTATCCATATTGGGAAAAGAGGGTATGCTTTTAACCTTCATTTAATTTTAGTACCATCTTAATTATGATGGTTATTCATGCTTTGTTTAAGTTTGTCCCCAGGCTAAAGATTTGGGTGACCATCTTTTGCACAAATGGGCATACCATTACTGAGCCATTACTGAGAAGGCAAAATTGCCCATCTTCTTTTAATAATAGTATATAATTAACATTTAAGGATACTTCTTTTTTAAAATAGTACATTTTGACAATACCTGATACAAATGGTGTCAAAAGTGAATTGCAAGTGATACCAAAATAGGGAATAGTTTTCTGAACAAATATTAAGATTAACCAAATTTGCTAATCCTTCTGACTCCAGCCAAAATCAATGATGAATTTGAGCTTGATAATCTAATTCACTGTTCCCAACTTTCCTTGGGGTCAAGGATTTGCATGAGAATGGCATTGTTTGACTGTCCCAGGATCTAGGTGAATGCTTTTATTGCTTTCTTTTTTATGTTTCTCAAATAGAATCTATTTACAGATGGAAAGATCAAGCCATAGACTGTTTAACTTTGTCCCATGAGAATGGTATTTGAAAGTTTTGTTTTGTTTTGTTTTTTTTTTTTTTTAAATTTTTTGTTGTTTTTCAACACTTAAACAGGACCAGTTCACAGAATGCCATTAACGAACTTCCAATATCATATGTAGAGAGTAGCAAGATAATTGATTTTTTTTTCATCTTTTCCACTGGCTGAAAGTGCACTTTATACCTATCTTCTTGAACATTGCATGAGAACCCACCTGGACCGGCACTATGTTCCAAATGTGTGGTATACTGGTGTATGATGCACTTGTGTCCAGTTTGTGGAAAGAAATGATCTTCTTTTATTTATATGTTCTAGAAAGTCTAAAACAAGGATCTTAAAATCAATTCCAAGTCTCACTTTTGACAAGAACTGCATGTTGCATCACAAGTACTTAGTCATGATTTCTACTAAGAGTTTTATTACCATTCTTCATTTATGTAAGCAAATACCAGAGTCCTGAAATACCTGGTAGGCAGACCCTAAGGATGGTTTTTCAAAGGTAGAGTATGCCTGGTGCTCATGGAAGGAAATGGGACCAAGAATTTATAGATCATAACTACATCTTCAAACCAAGATTTGACTTGACAAGTTTCTAACCATCTGATTACATTCTTATTTCTTTGGGTTCCTCACTATTTTATCTGCAGCTTCACAATTGGAGGCCTGTCATTTTTTTATTGGGCCAAAATTTCGCATTATCTCTTACACACTATCAGACTCGCTTTCATGCAAAATATGTGACTATATGAATAGATGATTCATTTATTGGGAGGCTATGCATAATATGATTCTAAACTCTGGAAATTTATACCTTGTCAATGATCATTAAATATGAAAGCTGTATATTTAATTCTGATAACACGATCGTTCTTCATTATTTCATTTTTATTTATTAGTTGTTCTGCTTGTTTTATTTATTTATTTATTTATTTTTTATTGAACATACATGTTATATCAGAGAGAACGCCGTCGCAAGGAACGTGAAAGCTCTCAATCAGCGTAAAGAGTATGCATGCCAAGCAAGCACAGAACACTACAGTGGTATACCTACTTTTTAGTCCAATCCTGGTATGGTCTTTGAAGTTGTCATTTCAAGGTTTTTATGATCATAGCCATATCTATTAATTTATGTAAAGATGGAAAGCCATATTTAAATTTTAATTCACTTCATTTAGATTTTCTTTTTTTTTTTTTAAATAATGAGACAGCTTCATACCATTGATAGTTAAAGATTACATGAGAGGTTCGGCTAGAGTCAAAGTGAGCAGTTACTCTAGCTTTACATGCTTAGTCAGAATATGAGCAGCCTGATATTTTTCTCTATTTACAAAACCAAAAAAAAAGACTTAGGTGAACTTTAACAGCTCGATCATCTTCGATTGATGAAGGTGCTTCACCCATTTAGTGGGGATGATTCGGTTTTGGAAAAAAGATGCCAGTTACTTGGAGTCCTTATATACTGTGTGATCATAGCTGCATTCTGGGTTGAAGTTGCCTCTAGACCCGCCGCAAGGTCCCTTGGTTCTGCATCATATGGACTGATGGCCTAGCAAGGTTGTCCTTTATAAATAGACTGGTGGCCTTGTGCTTGATGTAGGTAGGGGTGTCAATTGAATTCGATTTGGTCCATTTCGATCCAGTCCAATGTGAGTTCATTACAAATGGACCAGGTTTAATCCAATCCAATGAATATTTTGAACCGGTCCACTTCAATGTCTGGACCGTCTAATCTGTTCAAATTCATTTTAATCTGAACACCTATATTCTTATCTTATATCAATGGACTAGATATTGGCTTGATCCAACATAACCCAATAAAAATTTACTAAGAATGGGCCAAGTCCGGTCCAATCTAATAAATATTTTGGACTGGATTGGTCCAATCCAATGTCTTGTTGGTCTGTTCAATTCATCCAAATTGATTTTAAACCGGTCCATTGACATCCTTAGATGGAGGATGAAAGGGCATCCTGAGCTACCTGTGATGTGAAAGGGTCACAAGAATCATCAATTTGTAAAGAGGAAAATCCAGTTGGCAGCCCGTATTCATTTGCAGGTGCTAAGGGATTCTATATATGATTGATAGGTACTGGTAGGAAAGTATGTTCTCAACGTAGCAATGATCTCTGTAGGTGTAGTTTGGGATTGCTCATGTAGCTTCTTATTCCTTGCTTCCCAGATGTGGTAAAAAAAATGCAACCTCTCCAAAGGGTGCAGATGGCAATTGCTTAATTTAGAATTCATTCTTCAGTATCCATACAGCATGAGTGGATAACATTTGGAGTTGGTTTTGGTCATGGAATAACTGATCCCAACCCTTATCTCACCTGGTCCGCCCAAGAATCAAACCAAGGCACTGGGCCGGCCCAATGAGTTTTGTTAAGTGAGAATGGTCATGGAATAATCATCATATACCAAGTAGAGGAGCAGCATTTATCAACAAACTTAAACAGTTGTTGATTTGTTGTCACGAGCTTGAAATCAGTCCAATACCAGTTGAGATACCTCTATCGACTCATACCAAGTTTAACCTGTGGATGAATCCAAGGTTTCAAGTAATTGATACCAATACGCCAGATGGGGCGTATTTGGTAATTCGACCCCACACCTTTTTTTTAATTTTTATTTTTTTTTCAAACCCTGTTCAGAGGTTTAAAGGCTTTATAATCCACTGAAACAGGTCACAACACCAAAGCTTATGTTCGGCCGCCAATATGTGCTGATATGTAATGAAATTTTGAACCTTCGATCAATCAGTGAGTGATCTTTTTTTCTCACTGCTTATATTGGGGTGAAGTGATTTCAGCCCATGGGACTAATGTCCCTCTGCCATATCAAGAAAGAAGTTCCCATGCTTTTTCATATAAATTACCCATGGAAACTCGAAATCAAATCAGCCCCCATAAGATTGCTCTGCACAATGTCCCACAGCACATCCCTATCGTGTATTGGGAACATCTTCTGATGATATTAGGAGAGACGAACAAAAATCTTGAGGGGGCTGATTTGAACTCTGGAAACTCAAGCGCTAGGGCCCTTGTAGGAGAGAAACAAAAATCATTAGAAGATGGAGAAATGATAATTATTTGAAAAAAAAGACATGTGGCTAATCTAGGTGGTTCCTCACTAGATGGAATAGTGTCCATTTTCTTTCCCAAGAAAAAAAAGGACCAATTACTTGGTCCCAAGGTTCAAAATATCGATACGCCTGATACGTCGGTATGGGCATATTGGGCGAATTGATACTCTTTTTGTTTTTTTTTTCCAATTGGTTCAGGGGAGCCGGTTTAGGTCTTTGCCACACCCTGAACTGGTCAGACCACCGATACATCCACTACAGGAGCGTATCGGTGGGGTGTCGAAATGATATGTATCGACTGATATGGGCCGATATGTATTGATACTTTGAACCTTGCTTGGTCTTTATACTCTTTTAAGAGTCAAGCTATAAAAAACCTTTATAAAAATTGATAACGATATTTAGGCAATTCCAAAATATTTTGGTGCTTGCTTTCTTTCTTTTATTTTGTATTTTTGGGGCAATCATATGCAATGATTTCCTTTGGGATCCATTATCCAGGTGCCAAGTCTTGAAGCATTTAGTTTGGGGTTTTAATTTGATTTAGGATATTAAATTAAGTTTGATTTTTAATTAAGCAACACATTCTATCCAAACCAATGTAACGTCTTCGGTCCTTGTGCTTGGTTCTAATTTTGAGTTAAGAAACCAAGTGAGATTAGATTTGTTATTAAAGGGTATGTGACAGCTTTCTAATTTGGAGTGGAGCAACAAAATTTTAGGTCTGGAGTGGGACCCAAGACACTACACATTTTTATTTTGAATTAAAATTTATTTAGCCCCCCTTTTTATTCAATTCGACATTTCGGCTACCCAATTGCACTTTGCAGTTTGCACCCTTAATCTGAGCTGAATGCGATGGCTGTTCAGTGGGCTGTTGAGCCAATGATGAAGTTACACGCCATTATAAATTCATGGGCCCTCTGTGAAAGGTGCAGGTTCTGTGTATTTTATTACTAATATGAAACCTTATAATTGGTTCAACAGCCTGATTAATAGCCATTTCGTTCAACTAAACCTTGCTCCCCTAATTTGAAGTGAAGTGGGCTACGAATCCTTGACTGGATAGTGGAGTGGTTTTGTTGAGACAACTTCATGTTATGAGAACATATCTGGAAGTGATAAAATGGAAGTGCTTTCCTCCTCTTCGCTATGATTATTGACAATAATAATCCACCAAGGAAGAAGTCAGAATAGATACCATAGGCGCGCCCGATAGAAAATACAAAAGCTTGAGGCATAAGATATTACTTTCTCTTTGCAAATCTAAGGTTGGTGGTGAGTTATAAGGGGTTATTTTTTGCCAACAAAAGAGAAAAATAAGAGTAGCGGTTAAGAGTAGGGATTAAAATATCAATACGATATATCTGATATGCTTGAATGCACAGATATCGTGTATCGTATCAATATTGGTGTATCAAGATATATTTGCATACATTGATACAATTATAAAAAAAACTTTTTTAAACATTTAAAAAGTCTAAGACCTCTTCCCCAATCCTTGATCATTATAAAATAAAAAACTGAAAAAATAAAAAAGCATGAGTATCAGCCATATTGATACACACTGATTACCATCGGTATCGTGCGAAATTTTAATCCTTAGCTAAGAGTATGATTCAATCGAATATTTTTTTTCTTTTGGGTAAATTATATACTGTCACGTTGTATTTTGGGTAGTGACACCTAGCCTCCCAAACTTTCATTTGCAATAGAGATCCACCCTAAATTTTTCAGATTGCAGCACCTTGCCCCCACCTTATTAATGGTCTTGACGATAAATTTAAAATTGTGAAAATTCCCATTCCAAGTTCTATATTCATTTGCATTTTCTGTAGTTTTGTACTTTCCACTTTTCTTTGTTTGTTTTGTTGAATTTTCTCAATTTCCTTTTTTTGTGTTTTTCTTTTTTGTTTTTTTGCTATTTTCAAATTTTTGTATTTCCTCCTCTTTGATATTTTCTTCAAATTTCCATTTTCTCTGTATTTTTGTTTTCTTCTTTTTCTTCATTTTTTTTTTTGTATTTCATATATTTTCTACAATTTCCTACTTTTCCTTTATTTTCCTTTTCTGTTGTATTTTATCATTTTTCTACATTATTATCGCCATCCAAGCTTCATCCCAACTATACTGGGTTGTTTACATGAATCCTACTTTGCCATGCCATTCCATTCTATTTAATGCCATGTCCATTGTCAAATTATGAACACTTAAATCATTTTTTACTATTTTGACAAGGGTGCCCCTAGTCCCCATATTTGTCTATTTGATTATACTTTATACTAAAGTTATCATTCTCTTTACTAAACTGAATTCACGAGTCACATGGGGTGAAATTAGGGCCTATTTTGTTCATAGGAATAGGGGTCTGGAATCGGAATTGGAATGGTATTCAAATTATTACTAGAATGGCATTCCTCCATTTGAGGGAATGGCCATTCCCTCCCCCTCCGTTGGGTATGAAATCCCATTCCAATTTATTCAAATTCTGATTTTGATTCCAGTCTGAACCAAACAGATTACGAGAATATACCATTCTGATTCTGATTTCAATTCTGTTTGTTTTGCAGTCAAAATCGGAATGGTCTATTCCTCCTGCCTGTTTGGTTCAGATTGAAAAAAGAATCAAAATTGGAATAAGATGGAATGGATTCTCATTCCCAAGGGAGGGAGAGGGAATGGTTATTCCCTAAAATGGGGGAATGCCATTTTAGTAGGAATAAGAATGGGATTCCGATTCCGCCTAACCAAACAGTTGGACCATTCTGATTCCAATTCCAGACCCCTATTCCTGCAAACCTAACGGATTCTTAGTAGATTGGGAATACAGATAAACCACCTCTTATTTGCTAACAACTGTTCTTTGGAAAGTGTTTCACAACTAAGGTTTCTTGTCTAATTAAGAACAAATGAGACACTTCTGTAAGTGGTTAGGACGAGAAATTAATTTTCAAAAGTCATCCATTTATTAGTACAAATACCCATCACTATATTAGACAAAGAACAACTATATTCTTGGATGTGAAGTTTATGCTGTCAAAAGATAAATACCTTGATGGCATATTTTCTTTGGATGATCCAAAGGTGCACAATTGGCACTTTATTATCAAGAAAGTTACGAGTAAATTGCAAGGGTGGAAGGCTTGGACTTTCTCAAGTAGGATGAACATTTTGATTAAGACTACTCTTGAACCCTTGGCCATGTACTACATGCAAAC